GCTTTGCTCTTTTGACATTAACAATTTTTTTTAATGACGTTAATATATTATGTACAGTATTCAAAGTGGTTTGTTTTAATATATATATTTCAACTTCAGGTGCACTTGGCAGAGACTTTCATTCCTTTATTCCTGTTTGGAATAAATAAAAAAAAAACATATACCTTAAGACTGTACCACATCAATATTAATGGTCTTCGATCATTCTCCTCTCTTTCTATTTTTCATTTTCTACTCAGTTCTTCTCCACCCTTCTTATCCAATCTTTCATATTTTCTCTGATCAACTTCTTTTTGTTAATGTATCGGTAGTACATATTTTGAATATATATATATGTAACTATTTTTGTAAGAATCATGTTGAATTAGCGGTGGTTGATTACTTGATTACACTTATTTCAACACCTCTGCCATGAAGGTGGGGCCTGAGCCTGAGGTGCTAGTTACTGTGTTGTCTGTCTTTCCTACTTCCTCATAATCTCAGGACTCATTTGAGCAATGAACTTCAAGTACATGTAGGTCAATTAAAGGTTAAAAGTAATAAAGGTCACACTCACTTTTCTTTGAAATTCAGTGCTTTTCCCCGCATTATTGCAATATCTCGAGAGCCATTGGAGCAATGAACACCAAACTTGATACTAGTATGTACATGTAGGTCAAAGGTTGTAAGAGGTCAATTGCCATGAAACTCTGTAATTTGTTATGCCCATGCAGTTATTGCGAAGACTAGACTGGACTCGGAAGGTAATGTCTGTACATGTACATTATTACATGTGCATTTACGTATAGACTGATCATCAGATTAATGATAATGAAAATAAATCTATGTCTTAAAGTACAGTTCTAGTAGTAGGGAGAGAGTGATAATGAGCAACTAATTGCAATTTGGGTCATAAAAATAGTGTAGTTGGGGCTAGAAGTAGGCACTGTACATAGTCACAAAAAGAGGAAAAATCTACTGTTATTGTTATTATTATTATAGTTTTTAATATTGTTATTGTTCTCATTATTTTTTTATTGTTATTATTATTGTTGTTATGTTTTTTTGTTTTTTTTGTATTATAAGATAATGACGTGGATCCTTATCAAATGATTGGTCATGTACACGTGACCAGGCATTTATTTTGCCTTGCGCGTAATTTGGATATAATGACCGGTCATTATCCAAATCATGTTATAAGACATCATTTCATAGCTCAAATAAAAGATAATCTTATAAAACAAATAATACACATCATTTTGTTCGGGCATTAGTAAAATTACCCACACTCGGTACCTTAATTCAAAACAGTCCAAATATCCTCGGCTATCGCCTCGAGCATGTTAGACTGTTCTAAAGGTACCTCGTGTAGGTAATTCTTAATAATGCACTTACTGATGTGTATTATTTGTATATTATGGTAATGATGGTGATGATGATAACGACTGAGAGCTTAGAATTTCTAATTGCTATATTAAACTGTTCTTTCTTTCTTTTTTCTTCACAGGTACAGGTTTCCAACTGTGACATGGATGCTGATTTGAGCATGTCTGTGGATGTGCAAGACACAGATTCAGACTTTTCTCAAGATTATATTCTCGGTTATGATTCGGTGAGTAGAAAACATTGAAGTGCCACATCCTATGCTATAGCAACTACATGTACATGTATACATGTATATGAATAGGTATGCTCTTCATAGAGTTAAGTTGAAATGAGAGAAAAGAGATATAGAATTGAGTGATTTTTGTCATGGTCACCTCTTGCACGGTACGTTTAGTGAATGCAAAAGTCTCTGCTTTTACAGTATTTATACAATTTGTTTAATCTCTAACTTTTTTGGAAACAGGGTTTTGCTGAGACCCTTGAAGAAACTAAAGACTCGCGGGCTGTGGATAATGTTCAGATCAATGTCAAGCTTCAAGATAAAATGGATACGCCTAATGATGTCATTAATCCAAGCTTGCTGGAGGTCAGTCTTTATCATTGTTTTAATAATTCATCTCTAGCTGGTCACGAATAACAACTTTTTTAACAATGTAAGAGAATAAATCATGGGTTAAAATATAATAATAATAATATCTGTCAATTAGGAGTGCTAAAAACAAAATGTACCATAGTGCTTACAAAACTACAGACAGTGAAGAAGAAACATGAAATTATGAAAATTGGTAAATCATTATAATTAAGTAAAGTTACTGAGGGTAGAAGTATTTTTTTAAGGGATCTTTTGAAAGAGGCAAGACAGGTTAATTCTCTGATGGAAAGTGCGATATTGGCCCAAGTTTTCCTAGTAGCCACTAGCTGTGAGACGGTTTTCGGTAGATGAGAGCCTGAATTTGGGAATAGTTAGATTATATTTGTCAGATGTTGAGCGAAGGTTATGAGTTGGTGTATATATTTGGAGGGTGTCATTAAGATTCAGTTTCCATGTGATTAAGAATTTTGAAGATATGCAAGCAGACCTTATAGTTTTAAAAAGAATGTGTTGTTGTAGAGGTAACCAGTGGAGCTCCTATAGCTTAATCAAGGGATTAGTACATCATGAGTACGAGATCCAAGGCCAAAGATTAATCTAACTGCTCGATTCTGGACAGTTTCAAGTTTCCTTTATCTTTTGTAGACAAAACATACAAACTTCATGTATTACAATAAGCTAACCTACTTGTAGATATAAAGATGTTTTGGTTCAATAATCTACAAACTAAACAGTTAAGTTGAACATGTAAATCACTATACATTTGCAAATTCAGTAATTTCGTATTTTTGTCTCGCACTAAATGAGAAGTGGGCATCTCCAGTGAAATTCACCATTATTTTTTTGTGTAACCATTATGCTTACATAACATATACATGTACTTGTATGTACATATTCCTTTTAAAAACTTTGATGTTTTAGGCTGACCTTGAGAGGAACGACCTTCAGGGTGGAGAAAGACATGGAGAGACTGTAGGACTCACACAGACAAGGAAAGACTACAGCCCCAAAGAGGTATGATCTTGTTGACTACATATGAAAACCTAGCCTTGCTGAAGGTCAATTTTCATGAAAATCGTAGATAACTTGTCTCGAGATATCAAGGGCCATGTTGGCTTTAGCTTCAAATCTGGTGTCAGCCTGTTATGAGTAGATATGGGAATCTACAGGACAAAGGTCAAATGTCATGGATCTTATGAACCCTTTGTGGTGTGAACTTGCGCTGTAATGCACTACTTCGAAAAGAAATTACTTGACTTCGAAGGTCACATTGTCAGCTTTTCTGAAAAATCCTCAATCAACATCTCACTGTTGTGACATCTGAAGAATTATTCCTGGTGTTTTCTTCAAGAGTAAAATGCATCATCGGGAAAGTTGCAATGACTAATGAGGAGTACCTGTATATAGACATTTGAAAGCAAATGAGCATAATAATTACCCTTTGCAAGCCGATAGGGTAGACCAGTGAACAACCTGTAGTCTTCATAAGGCATTTCACTTTTGGTTGTTGTCTATATTCTAAAACAAATTAAAATTGTTAACATATTGTAGAATTGCTATATATTTGTCAATTCTATTTTTTCATGCAAACAGCAAGCTTTGTTGACTCCATACACCATTCCTCTGAAGGAGATCTTGCAATCCGATAAAAATGGAGGGATCTTCTGTTTGGATGATATCCTACAGATCAATCGTGATGTCATGACCGACCTTGCTGATCTACATGATAAATCCATAGTACATGGAGATGTGCAAGGTGAGGATGCTATTTGTTATTGTATCCATCATATAAAGAATCTGACTGAGGCCTGATAGCTCAGTGGTAGGGTAGTGGTCTCATAACCGTGAGGTCCCGGGTTCGAAAACCAAGTATGAATATGAGGGATATATTAAACAAATATTGACTATCTCTATATCAAGACATAACTAAATATTTGGGGTCTTGGCCGTTGCATTAGTAGTCTAATAATCACGGGCTACTTGGGCAGTGGGACAGCTATCTTTGCACAAGTGATGTTTTAGTCTTTATCCATCTTGTTTTTCATTACAGCTTGCAATATCTCCATCAATCTTGACGACATGAAAGCATCTCTCAGCTCTGAAAAATCCAAGGAGCAGAACAACGGTAAGAGTGTGGATGCTCTTCTGTGTGGTTGTGTGGTTGGGGGTGGGGGCGGGGGGGGGGGGGGGGGGGGAGGATGGAGGAGTTGAGGGGTTGAGGAATTTATTGTCTGTCTGTCTTGTCCACATGTCAGTCACTATATGTTTTATGTGATTAATTTTATTTTTTTTTAAAAACACAACAACAATACCAATTAACGACAAAAGAAAAGGTACAGGGAAAAAGGAGAGAAGAGAAGGGGAAGAAGGACAGGAAAGGAAGAAGAAAATAAAGCAACCTCCTAAAACCCAAGCTTTCTGTTGGGGGGGGGGGGGCAGAGGGTGGGGTTAGAGCTTGTTGTTATGATGTTAATATTAAGGATAATGATTGTCTAGATTTACACAATTTCTCTACATGCACACATTGTAAAGTCATTACCCTCTTCTCTGGATTCTTTTCTCTTGCGCAATGCATGTGCACACAATTTTTTATTATAGCACATGCTCTAGCCTTCTTCCAGGTGGAATATTTATTTTATTGCTGTCGAGGAAATCATGCACTATAAGCCAGAACATGAATTCAGATCTATAGTGGTGACTGAATTGCACTATGACGAATCCTTATACCTATGCCAGGGCAGTCCACAAACCAAAATTCAAACATGGAAATTTGTAACTTGAAAGGAGTATGAGTGGATTGTAGATGCTCTCTGGTGCAATCTGGGCCATATTTTGAAGCATTTCAGACAATTTATGACTCACATTTTAGAAATGATTTTGGTTGAGAATAAATTTAAACTTGTAACTGATTTTAATACCTGACACCTTTTACATGTTAAACCCGTTGTGGACCACCCGACCTACACCATTTCAATTGTTATTTTGTTTAGAGACTGCACTTCTTGAGGAATCTACCGTTGATGTGAAAGCAGTGTGCATGGTCATGGGTTGTCTCTGCGAATTCTACAGGAGGATGAAACCTCAAGACTCTCAGAATAGCAACCAGGTACATGTTACAACTTTATTGTATCATTAGGAACGAGAAGGAGATTTTAATGTGATGTGTATGGCAATTCCTGATTGTATTCTGTGCTTTAATAAAATCTGTAATGATTCTTTCGTAATACCTTAAACGAGAGGGAAAATTATTTGCTTATGGTCACAGAAAAATGAATTGTTTGGATTCTTCAAGTAATATCAAAGGCTAATTATCTTAGTTAAATATGGAGGAGAGTTGCAATGAGAAACATATTTTCTTTAAATTACGATTAAATCTAATCTTCTGGTCTGTAAGTGCATGAACTTGCATAGAGGGAGAAATTAACTTGTGGCGATTCTAAATCCATATTGTACGGTTATTTTTGCGAATTTTAGAACATGCACACAATTTTCAGCATATCGTGATCATTGCATATCGTGATCATTAACGTACAATGTAAGTTACATTGTATGTCGCACACACCATTAACCACTATAGTAAGAGCCATGGGGGCTTCTAAGGCTCCCCCTAAGATGTTGAAAGATGAATCATTATGATGATTGACAAATGATCTTTAAAAAGATGAATGACAACATATTTTTTTTCTCCTTTAGGGTTGCTATATACCGCTGCGAATGGGAACAAGGATATCTTTCCATTATTAGCAGATGTCAAGATTACATTTAATCCCTCTGAATGATTTTACCTTCTTATCATGAAGTTCTCTTTTTCTGTGTCTGTTCTACAATTTATAGAAAGCAGAGACAGCATTAGCATTGTTCGCTCTTCTTCGTAGAGGGTACAGAGATGGTATATCAGCAAAGGCCTTTTTGGAAGAGCTTGGGCGAATCGTAGTTGATGGTAAGACTTATATCCTATACCTGTGATAGACACTAGAGTCTTTAGGAAAGAGAGGAGTTTAATACATGCTTTCTGTATGGACCTGCTGTTAACTTATTGTGCTGTGTCTATATGCAGTGATATAGCCTAAATTTGCTAATTCGTTAGTTTGAAAACGTACATGTAGTATCGTGAGAGGTTTAAATCGTACAGCTGCTACTGGTAGTTTTCTGTCTGTCTTTCACTTTTAAAAATGCACGCATACCAATGCTTCTGTCATCCAACATTGGTAATGACACGGGTTATGTCAGCCCAAATAGCCCACATTTTCTATCCAATGGTGAGTAATACTTCTCCATGTGTTCTTATACCAAGCATTTAGACATACAAAGCATTAACATACATGTACATGTAGGGCTGTTGGCGCAACGAATACATTGGGTATGAATCTGAGATTCATTAATTAACGGTGCTTATTCAACACTCTTCAGTAATTAAGTAATTCAGTAATTAACTGTACTAATTCAATATTTTTCTCATGAATACAGATCGAGTAGGCGAGCAAAAAGAGGCTGAAGCTGTCACTAACAAGATTCCAGAGCTGGGATCTGAAGCTCATGTCAGCAACAAAGTTCCGCTGCAAGCATCAAGAGACACCAACAATGGAAACAAGGCTAGGGACAAAGTCAGTGAGCTAGATAGCAGAGCCATGGAAGATCATTGCTCTACATATGGAGCAACCACCTATCATGAAGGTATGTCCTTGTCAGTGAGTTTTATATCTATAATGATACTTGTAATGATCAATAACTACTGATTATACTTCAACTGTGCATCGATCAAAACATAGTCAGTTTGGAAATTTCCAATAGTCCCAAATTATTCATTACACCTGAAACAAGCACAGGCTGCAGAAAGTAGAAACAGACAAATTAATAATACATGCATACCAATGCCTCTGTAATCCAATCCAACATTGGTAATGACATAGGTTATGTGAGCCCAAATAGTTCAAGTTTTTTATCCAATAGTCTGAGTAATACTTCCCCATGTGTTTATATACAAAGCATCCAGACATACATGTACATGTAGGGCTGTTGGCCCAACAGTTGATCTCCCCCACTCCACCAAAATACATTGGGTATGAATCTGATATTCATTAATTAACGGTGCTTATTCAACACTCTTCAGTAATTAAGTAATTCAGTAATTAACTGTACTTATTCAATATTCTTCTCATGAATACAGATCAAGATAGTAAGCAAAAAGAGGCTGTCACTGACAAGATTCCAGAGCTGGGATCTGAAGCTCATGTCAGCAACAAAGTTCCGCTGCAAGCATCAAGAGACACCAACAATGGAAACAAGTCTAGGGACAAAGTCAGCGAGCTAGATAGCAGAGCCATGGAAGATCTTTGCTCTACAGATGGAGCAACCATTCATCATGAAGGTATGTCCATGTCAGTGAGTTTTATATCTATAATGATACTTGTAATGATCAATAACTACTGATTATACTTAAACTGTGCATTGATCAGAACATAATATACATGTTAGTTAGTTTGGACAATTCCAATATTGATTACACATGGAGCACAGGCTGCTGAAAGTAAAAACAGACAAATTAATAATACACACATACCAATGCCTCTGTAATCCAATCCAACATTGGTAATGACATGGGTTATGTGAGCCCAAATAGTTCAAATTCTTTATCCGATGGTCTGAGTAATACTTCCCCACGTGTTCATATAAAAAGCATTTAGACTATGCAGGGCTGTTTGAACGATTGATCGATCTCTTGAATCTGCAGAAATATATTGGGTATGAATTAGAGTGTTGTTAGATTCAGTAATTTACGGTGCTAATGGGAATACTTATTGAACATTCTTCTCTTGAATACAGATCGAGTTAGCGAGCAAAAAGGGGCAGGAGATGTCACTAACAAGATTCCAGAGCTGGGATCTGCAGTTGTCAGCAACCAAGTTCCGGTGCCAGCATCAGCAGGAGCTACAAACAACGAAGGTCCACGAAACGAGTCTAGGGACACAACCGGCGAGCTAGATAGTAGAGAGATGGAAGATGGCTACTCTACAGACGGAGCATCCATTCATGAGACGCTCTTGGCAGGTAATGTCAGTGAATTTATCATTGGATGATACTTGTAATGATTAGTATAACTATACTGATCATCATACTTCAACTGTGCATCTATCAGAACATGATGTACATGTTAGTCAGTTTGGACAATTCCTATTCCCACAAATTATTCATTACACATGAAACAGGAATAGCTAGGCTGATGAAATTTTAAAAGAAAAAATTTTAAGATTTTTCTTCATGTGTTCATCATAAATCTTATACAGAAATGCATAAGTGAAAGTGTGAGAATAATGACACAAATAAGGACATCATGAATGTTTGAAAGTTTGGTCACCAAATGCATGAAAATGTAAAATTTGTAATGTGATCATGTGACTTTGATGAATTAAAAAATATTGTGAAGTGGTGAATAGTAGCCACTTTATGTATCATCAGAAAACTATGGAAACTTGGCATGCCAGCCAAGTTGTCATTTTGAAGGAGAGTGCAAATATACAAAGGTTGCTGCTTCGATCTACTTTGAGTGCATTTATTGGCCAATTTTTTACCTAGAATCAGTGTTTTCAAACGTCTTTCAGGCAAATTTTTAAGGTGATAAACACAAAGCCATTTTCAAATGTCTTAGATATGGGCATATTGTAACGCCGAAAAAAGTGTGTTAGTACAAGCATGTGTGTTCAATTTCTCCTTCTTTTACTATTTATGTTATTCTTTTTATATTATTCTATCAGTTTTTAAATCTTTCGTCAAAGTCGGAGAGGATATATATAGTAACTATACCTTCCGTGTGTGCGTGCGTCCGTTTGTGCGTCCGTTCGTAACAAATTTGGTTTCTGATTGATAACTTCAGTAATGTTTCACGGATTTTAATGAAGTTTTATATAATGGTACATGGTATCAAAAATACAGGCTAAGTTCGATTTCGGAGTATGAAGGTCAAAGGTTATAGCTCATTACATATGTGAATCTGGTTTCCAATCCATAACTTTAGTATTGTTTGACGGATTTTAATGAAATTTGATATGAAGGTTCATGATATCAAAACACAGCCTAATTTCAATTTCGGAGTATGTAGGTTAAAGGTCATAGCTCATTGAATATGCGAATCTGGTTTCCATTCGATAACTTGAGTAATGTTTGACGAATTTTATTGAAATTTATTATGAAGGTACATGGTATCAAAATACATGTACATTTCTATCCAATGGTCTGAGTAATACTTCCCCATGTGTTCATATAAAAAGCATTTAGACATACATGTACATGTAGGGCTTTTGAAACGATTGATCTCCCCCACTCCACCAAAATACATTGGGTATGAATCTGAGATTCATTAATTAACGGTGCTTATTCAACACTCTTCAGTAATTAAGTAATTCAGTAATTAACTGTACTTATTCAATATTCTTCTCATGAATACAGATCGAGTTAGCGAGCAAAAAGGGGCTGGAGCTGTCACTAACAAGATTCCAGAGCAAGTACCTGAAGCTCATGTCAGCAACAAAGTACCGCTGCAAGCATCAAGAGACACCAACAATGGAAACAAGGCTAGGGACAAAGTCAGCGAGCTAGATAGCAGAGCCATGGAAGATCATTGCTCTACAGATGGAGCAACCACCCATGCAGGTATGTCCTTGTCAGTGAGTTTTATATTGTAATGATCAATAACTACTGATTATACTTCAACTGTGCATCGATCAAAATTTTAATGAAATTTATTATGAAGGTACATGGTATCAAAATACATGTACAGCCTAAGTTCGATTTCTGAGTATGTAGGTCAAAGGTGAAAGGTCATAGCTCATTAAATATGCAAAAACACCTAATTATATATGTGAAAATGTGGTTAACCTTCCTTGCCTAGTAATATAATAGTATAGTCCAATGGAGGTAACTTGTTCTGACGTACATGTATATATATAAGCCATTTATACCCTGCGAGGGGATGCTACACTTTGCGTTGACTTGTTTTAATTATTCTATCACTTTCTCTCTCTGTCTTTCCTTGTGTCATTCTTTGTTTCTTCCTTCTATCACCTTCTCTTTTTGTCTTTTCCTATTTTATTCTTTGTTTCTTCCTTCAATCACCTTTTCTTATGTTATTCTTTGTTTTTATCGTTCTATCCTTTTCTTCCTACCATTCCTTATATTATTCTTTGTTTTTCCATCTTTCTTCTTCTCTTCTATCTTTGCATTTTCTATTCTTTATCGTCTTCTCTTTGTGTCTTTCCTTATGTTATTCTGTGTTTTTTTGTGTCATTTTGACGATTGGGTACTAGTTTTCTGACGAACCTCAAATCGTGGATGAACACGTTCTCATTTGGCCTGAAATTGCCGAAATGACGTCACAATATTCTGAGAACCTGTAAATGGAATACAATAAAACTTGAATTCAAAAAATTGTCTCTGTTTTGGTTTGTAAAATCGCTCTATGGCGGAGGCGTGCAGTCAAAGATCCATATAATTAATTATTTATAATTACATGTTTTTGAGTTATATTCCGATTTCTTTCACCGTTTCTGTTTTTTTCTTCTCTAGTGTTTGAGATGGAGAGGTTCCAATCTGAATGACAGAGCAAGGCATCCAACGATGCGCTGGTCAGACCCATCTTTGAGTACGCCAGTAGTTCATGGGACGGGACATCCTTCTCATCGAATCGATACAACGGAAGACCGCCTGATTCTGAATGAATGATTAATAATAATAATAATAGTGGCTACTTGTATAGCACACAGGTCCACCTTTCGGTGCTCATGGCACTTATAGAGAAAAGTACATGTAACAGACATAAGAAAGAAAAAACAATAAACTGAAAAACAAATTCGAAATTCTCCTACACATAGTAAATTAGAATATTGCAATAATTACAACGAAAGAAACAAATACGTTTCTAGTTGTAGTTTGAATGTTTCTGTCGACGACAACTAGTTGACGTAATTTTAGAGGGAGCTTATTCCAGAGTTTTGGACCCATGGCTAAGAAAGCCCGTTCCCCCCAAGCATGTTTTATTCTGGGTGTATTAAGTAATAGTGTGTCTGATGAGGAGCGAAGACTTCGTGTGGGGTTGTATTTTGAAACAGAGTTGCTCAGGTATGTAGGGGAAGAAAGAGAGTAAACTGAATGATGTACTAGTAACATAATTTTAAAAATAATCCTTTCGTCAACTGGCAACCAATGGAGAGAACGGAGAATTGGTGATATGGAATCAGATTTTTTAGTGAATGTTAATAGGCGGGCTGCAGAATTTTGAAGTTGTTGAAGTTTTGTGACATCTTTTTTGGAAGGTTACAGAACAATGAATTTGCAAAATCTAAACGAGAAGAAATTATAGCATGAATCAAGATCTCAGCCGCAGGTTTAGATAACACTTTCTTATGAAACTTAGATTACGTAATTGGTACCTTACACTCTGTTGAACATGTGTTATGACTACGAAAGGACATTTCCTGATCAAATATTACACCCAAATTTTGAGCTGTCTTTGATGGAGTGACTGTGATACATGTTTTTCCAATATGGAGATGACACGATTGATAAGTCAACCTTCCCTAACATGTGCTTGGCACCTAATAATAAAAACTCAGATTCATCATCATTCAGCTTAAGGCCATATTAGATATTAGCCAGGATTTGAGTTCTTCAAGACATGTTTCAAGTTTTGAAACAGTTGATGACAGTGAAGACATTGTCGGTTTAAAAGAAAGATAAATTTGGATGTCATCTGCGTAGCAATGGTAACTAATACAATGTTTGTGAAATATCTTGTTGATTGGTTGCATATAAAGAGAAAAGAGCAGTGGTCCTCCTACCGAACCTTGGGGTACACCATACTTCATAGTAGTTTTAGCAGAGGTAGAATTACCAATTTTTACATACTGAGATCGTTCAGAGAGATATGATATAAACCAATTAAGGACGGTACCCTTGATACCTAATGATTTCAGCCTTCGAGTCAGGATAGAGTAATCTACTGTATCGAAAGCTGAGCTCATATCTAACATAATAAGAGCAGTAATATTACCGCAATCCAGTTCTCTAAAAATAGTATCAGTTATGTTGACAAGTAGTGTTTCCACACTATGACCAGGCATGTAGGCAGATTGACATGGGTCAAACAATTCATTATCTCGCAAATATGCAGTCAGTTGTGAGAAAACAACCCGTTCCAGCAGTTTACTCAAAAAAGATAAGTTTGAGATTGGGCGGTAATTTTTGAGACACTCCTGATCTAAGCCCGATTTTTTCAAGGTTGGATAGATGACAACTGTCTTACAAACCTGTGGGACAATACTTGAACTAAGGCTAGCATTAATAATGCTTGTGATGACAGGTGCCAAGACTGTGCTACACTTCTTAACCAAATCTGTTGGGATTGGATCAAGCTCACATGATTTATTTGGTGAGTTCTTGATAAATGTTTCTGTCTCACTGATAGTGACCGACCAAAACTCACTCAACTCTGATTCGACTTCACAAACAGTGTCATCCAGCTGTACAACATGAGTTTGGAAGCACTATCGGATTGTTAGAATTTTGTCTACAAAAAATTGATTAAAACGATTGGCAAGCTTCAACCGATCACCATGAGTGAGATGTTCTGGTAAAGGAGATGGTTGTTTTCTGTGTAGTAAATTATTAGCAACTTTATACAATTTCTTTGTGTCTTTCCCACAATCCTCAACTTTTTTTGAGTGATAGTTTGACTGAGCAATCTTAATCAAGGCTTTTACATGTTGTTTTGGGGTACGATACATCTGCCTGTGAATCTCCAGTTTGGTGGACCTTGATCTTCTTTCTAATTGTCTACGAAGCAGTTTTGCTTGAGCTATATCTTGGTTATACCATTCAGTATTTGGGTGAATTGTAACACGGAGTTGCTTCTCAGGTGCCAATGTATCAAGTGCAGATGTGAGTAAGGTATTTACAAATTAACTTCTTCATCTACACTATTTGCATGAGAACCGGTTGATATAAGAGACTTTACATGAGTGTCATCTAAAAACTGTTTTGGGTCTACAGATTTCAAGTTCTGTGTTGTAACAAGCTTTTTGTTAGTAGATTCAAATGTGAAACACCTCTCCTTCCATAGCACAACCACGACCATACAAATCAAAACGAAGTACAGTTAACCCTGAGTATACCGACGCACCAGAAACAGAAACAGATGCAAGGTTTACCATATGGGGGATGGGTGGAAAATGCAGAGCATGTTCGACATATTTAGGCTTGTTGGTCATACAACTGAAGGATAATCCTGGTGATAACACTTGAGTGGGTATCCCGCATGGTGTTGAATTTCTCATTAATAGAGCCCGCTACTTTGAATATTCTAAGATTTAGGGTTAGGGCTAATGTGGGGTTTTAGGTTACGTTTAAGTATAGCAGGGTTCCCACAGTGGTGGACATAATTTGGAAAGTCATGGAAAACGGCGAGAAAATCTCCCAAGGTAATATTGAAAGTCATGGAAATTGATCATAGTAATGGGATGTGTGTGGCAGCCATGGCAGCCTTCCAGGTTAAACTAACAAGGTTGTGGTATTTGTATGCAGCTTGGATGCCGCAACCTAAACCAAAATGGTACTGACCCGGTCATAGGAAAAAGGCTGTTGGTATTGGAATTGGTTCTCAAATTTCTTGTTAGAAGACGATATGTTACTGTAGGGCCATTATCTGAACTATTTTTAGGCCAGATACACAGCATTATTTGAATAATTCTCTATTGTTTAAATGCATTCGACCATCAAATCTTTTACGATGTAAAAACAAATTGTGGTCCTTTCTATCATGGCTTTGAATTAAGTGATCATTCAATTTATTCTATTACCTCCAGAAGGTTGCCAATGATGTGCAGCTCCAATGGATTTTTTCAGCGGTATAAGAGCACGCCGGTTATTATGGGCAACTTGATGTTGAAATTTGATACTTATGATGACTCAACAATCACCCATATACCTCAATACATGTAGTTTTACATTCATCGATTTTGTTTATGATTTTGTTGTTGATACATCAAATATTGATGATTTAGTTGAAGTGTGTTCATTACAACTCTTTATAACCGAAAGTTTGTAGAGAATTTTTTTCAAAAATCATGAGCATAGAAAGGTCTGAAGGTCATTGTGGCAATCAACTGCAGCTTCTCTACACAGATGATTATCAATTTAGCAAGATATATCAATTATAGGTGCTTTGTGCATTGAAATAAGTATTATATTTGATTATTTTTACGAGATTGTTTTAAGAGGTATTTGGTAGACTTTACCAAGTGTCCATTTTTTATTGTTTTTTTGTTACAACTAAGTTTACGGATTTTTATAAGTTTTTAAGAAGATTATATATGCTGTGCTGAAATAGAGGAAGTCTTGGAGAATATCATGAGATGTTTCAATATGAAATTGATTTATACTCTAAAAAGTGCTTTCATGAAGTTTGCTCAAGTGATGATCAATTAAAGCTGTTGGTTTAGTTGTTTATTATAACATGTATAATAAAGCTCTCAAAGTGCTCTTAAAAATAGTTTTTATAAACCATTTCTTGATCAAAGAATGGAACTTACAATGGACTGAAATCCCGAGAAAGATTCTATTGAGTTTAAAACTCGCTATTATGTTGTATGTGTCCCAATCTATCATTGTCTGTGCATATACCTTTGCTACTTTGGCAATATTTATGTTTGAACTTTGAAGAGTCTTGTTGTATAAATCTTGTTGATCAAACTTTTAAAAAGTTTTCTGTAACGCCCATCACATATATATTGAGCTTCTACAACATTCTTTCATTAAGGCTGAAAGGGGCCAACATAAATTTACCATTAAAAACAATAAATACCTTGGTTTTGGTATGGTTGGTATGTTTTATTCTGCAATATGTGAAATGAGAGCAATTGAGGGGTTCGACTATTGAAGATAGAGAGAGAGAGAGAGAGAGAGAGAGAGAGAGAGAGAGAGAGAGAAGGAGAGGGACCGTGAAACAGAAATAGAAAAGAGAGAGTACAGAGATTAGATTAAGAAAGAGAAGAGATATAAAGCAGGGGAAAAGACAGAGATATGAGACAAAGCAAAATGAAAAGAGAGATTCGGAAATAGAAATAGAAAGGAGATTACAAAGAGAAATAGAATAGAAAGTGAGAAGAGAAATGTGACAAAAGGGACGGGAAAGAGAAGAGAGGTATGATAAACGAGACAGGAAAGAGAAGAGAGAGTGGTAGGAGGATCAAGAGGATGAAACGAATGAGGAGACAGTGCGGACATGTGCCGCCGCCCCCCCCCCCCCAAAAAAAAATATATATATATATATATATGTAGCGCCCACCCGGGAGGGGGGCATATACCTTTTAAGGAAGACAAAATAAAGATAGGTGATGACTAGGATGCGTGGCAAAACAAAGTCATTTTATTCTTAATCCTTTACAATATCATTCTATTCTAACAATACTTAATTATATACGAACACAGATAAATCTACCTTTTCTCATACATTTAATTTGTTAGCACTCTTGTGTTCTCTTTCTGAAGTATATCGCTATGAACATCATCTGGGAAACTTTCATAACGTTAAAATCTCTAAAAGAAACTTCTCTTACTTCCGTGCTTTATTTAAAAGCGCAATATCACTCTTCATCGATCTCATAATAATAACTTGGCTACTAATAAATAACTTAACCAACGAATGTCTATAACAATGAGATAT